AAATTGAAAAAAATCCCAGACTTATAGGAGTAAAAATTTATGAAATTAAAAAAATCCCAGATTTATAGGAGTAAAAATTTATGAAATTAAAAAAATCCCAGATTTATAGGAGTAAAAATTTATGGAATTTAAAAAATCCCAGATTTATAGGAGTAAAAATTTATGAAATTAAAAAAACCCTCTGCGTTTATAAGAGTAAAAATTTGTGAAATTAAAAAAAAAAACAAGTTTTTCAGAGTAAAAATTTATGAAATTAAAAGAATCTCAGATGTATAGGAGTAAAAATTTCTGCAATTAAACAAGTAGGTTTATGAGAGTAAAAATTTATGAAATTAAAAAAAAAAAAAAGTTTTTTTAGGGTCAAATTTACCTCCTTTTAATATTGCAATAAAATGCTGTGGGCACAGCAAAACCCCACTAAAAAGGGGATAAAGAAACCTCTGTTCCTTTCCATGGAATTAGGAATTACTCCCAGGATCCTAATGGGATCAAGTGGGAAAAAATTCAGTGCCATAATTAAAACTGAAGTTGACTCTGAAGCCTGGGGAGGTGCTGCCAGTTAATTACTGTTAATTAATTAAACCCCGACCCTCTCCATGATTTATAGACCGGAAAGGTTGGCCACCAAATTCCTGCTTTTTAAATGGCTTTATTAATTAGAATTAATTAGAATTAATTCATTTTATCCATTTCACCTCTCTGCTTTCCCTGGGGTTTGAAGGTCTGAAATTCCTGTTTGGCCTCAGCCCTGCTCATTCCACGCTCCTGTTATTCCATGGATTTGTTGGGTTTGGTTTTCCTCACCTTGGAGAACTTGAGGGGGTGGAATTTGTTTCATGAAAACATGGAAACCCTTACAAAACGTGGAATGTTTTGATGCCAATGATCCAGAACTGGAATTCGTTGGGAATTTACAAAGCTACTCTTGGGATCTTCCAAGGCAGTTTGTCCCTCTGGAAAAACCTGGCAACCTTGGAAAGGCCTTTGGTTGGAGAGGCCACGGATACAGGATTCAGTTCAGGTGTTTATTCTCCCTCTTCCCAAAGCAGGAATATTCCATGGAAGTGCCACAAGTGGTTTGGCAAGAGCAAAGGGGTTTTGTTCATCTGTTGTCCCGTTGACTTTGGACATGGAATCCTGGAATGGTTTGGGTTGGGAGGGACCTTAAAGATCATCTTGTTCCACCCCCTGCCATGGGCAGGGACACTTTCCACTAGCCCAGGTAGCTCCAAGTCCCATCCAACCTGGCCTTGGACACTTCCAGGGATCCAGGGGCAGCCACAGCTTCTCTGCCC